CCTGGAGCACCTCCTCCCCCTCCTTCTCCACAGGCCTGAGTGTCTGCTGAGCTGATTCTCCCCGCCCCAGGTTTTGTTTTTTCCCCTTCTTAAACATTTTATCCCAGAGGCGCTACCACTGTCACGGATGGGCTCAGCCTTGGCCAGCACTGGGTCCATCTTGGAGCCGGCTGGCATTGGCTCTGTCAGACATGGGGGAGGCTTCCAGCAGCTTCTCACAGAAGCCACCCCTGTAGCCCCCCCACTACCAAAACCTTGGTCTGCAAACCCAATATGCTATAGTGGACTCATAACCAGTTGGGTTCATCCAAATAAAACAGGAACATAATAGCTGCAACCTCTGAAAAAGGAAATTGGAAACAAACAGGAATAGGAAGTACAAGGATATTATTCATCATAGTTATTATTTAATATTTGTATCATGCTAACCACTGATAAAGTTTTGTCCTCACTAGCCAATGATTTATTTACATATTTCTAATCAGGGACTCTCTGGAAAGCCCCCAATTACACCAATGTGTACACTAATCAAACTGACTTGTTATTGCCAAAAGACTGCCAGAAGCTCATACTTTGAGACTGAAAGATCAACATGACTGTGCTTCTAGGGCATGAGATACAAAACACTGCACAAAGCAAAAAACACACAGGTTTTTGGACTGGGTGGGTGGGGATGGGAGCAAAGCTTCACCCAAACCAATGCAACGATACCTCCCTACGACTGTAAGGTGCTCTGTGGTTCTGATGCCATTCACACCTTCCTGAAGCAGATGTAAGGCAATTCACAGAAATGTTTTTACAGCTGAAAAGTCAGCAGTTACATTGATTCTGGAGATTGTTTGTCAATTCTGCTGCATGGGAAGAGGCAGCCTTTGGAGCCAGAGAGTAGAGTACTGAAGAGGTTAGTCTTCAATTTTGGCTTGTGTTTGACAGAGAGAAATCCCAAAGGTAAGTCCTGGAAAGTAAAGAATTCCAAGAAGTGGAGGCCACAGACCATAGGTCACAGTTACATTTTCAAGGAGAGGTGGTCTTAACTTTTAGTCCAACAGTAACATGTCCAAAAATTAAGAAGCACATGCACTGTCCAGCCACTGAGAGTCAAATCAAAGCAAGCAGGTTCCTGCTTGTCCTTCACCAACTACTCCTTTGATACCTTTAGCTTTGATTTATGTTTTAGCTAAGTTCCGTGGAAATGGCCCTATCCAGATGCTAAAGCAGCTTCTTACAGTAACAACTCAAATGCAAGCCAACACTTTAACAAGTATTAGCTACCTGTCAAAACAGTTCCAAAGACTGGAACTGTGACTGTATATTCCCTAAACTGATTAAATTCTTCATGCAAATTCCAACTGCTTACTCAATTACATTATCTTCAGAACTAATAAGCAGTTCTATCCTAACTTTACTATTATTTGCTTAGGTCTCTTGAGAATATTCTCATTGGTCCACAAACTAAACACAAAGGACTCCAGTCCTTTTAGTGACATAGCACACTTCAAATAAATTAAAAGCCAAAGCAATGGGTTAGTTAGCAAGCCACTCTGCAAATGACAGATTCATTGTTCAAATGGGTTCTGAAGACTCCGTTAT